GCTCATCCGATCTCAGGCTGCATTCCGTGGCGCTGTACAATTGGGCTGCATAGGCGAACAGCACCAGGAAGCCATTCAGGCGGCGATAGTTGACATGGTAGGGCACCTGGTCGACCAGCAGACGRGATGTCARCGGCTCCGTCTGCAGCTCGTTGAGCACGGAGCAGAGCGTGAGGAAGCTGCCGCGCGCCTTGTACAGGAAGTTCGTCAGCGCCGATTCCGGGTAGTAGTAGAGCGAATCCTTGTGCTGATCATGCTGATAGCACTCCGGTGGCAGCAGCAGCAGGCCAAAGGGCGTCAGCGACTCCGACACGGTCATGGCAGGCGGCAGCAGCTGATCGAACTGCTCCGCGAACATGGCAAAGCTAGTCAATTTGTGCATCTGTGGAATCTGATTGCACTGAGCCGCTGCGTCATCCGATGCAGCAGCTGGAGCAGCACTGCTGGCACCCTGAAAGCCCAGGCACACCTGTGTGGGCTCCAGGAACTGCTGCAGTAGCTCATCCACATTGCTGGCATAAATCTCGATGCCATTCAACGACTTGAACCAATCGCCCCGTTTTATATTATGCTGCATGGCGCTGATATCGTGCACGAAGCTGTCCACCATTAGGCACTCGGGCTGGTCGGGAAAGGGCAGCACTCGAAAGCCGAGTATAGACTCCACGGCTGTGGAGCGCCGTCCAAAGCGGAAACGATCCGTTGCCGTTATAACCAGCTCCAATTGCTTYAGATTGTCGGCGTCTGCGTGTGAATTCTTGATGTCTGCGAATCGGAACCCGTTGTTCGCCTCGTTCTCTGCCTCTACCTGCGCCTGCTGCCCCCCGCTGCCATGATTGTTGTTGTTGTTGTTGCTGTGGTTGCCATTGTGCTTGCCCTGCTGGCCTCTATTCTGCTGCTGTCGCCGCGTAGTTTTCTTACCCAGGCGCAGCGAGCGACGCAGCGGCTCACCGCGTCGCTCAGTTGGATTTGGCTTGGGATTGGGCACATATTCAGCATAGAAGAGACTGCCGTCTTCGGCCACGTATTCCTCCCAGTTAACCAAATCGCTGCCGTCACTGAAAGAGCTGTTGAGCGACGAGCTAGACGTTGAGTAGGTTTCCGAGGCGTCCAGGCCAAGACGCCTGTCCGAGCTGAACGACAAGCCCTGCGATTTTCGCATCTCTCGCAGATCGCTATCGCAAATGTGTAAATAATAAATAAATGCAAAAGAAAAACAACTGGATTTCTGATGCGCTTCGATCTGCCTGGGTACTGCAGCCAACACCAACTAAACTAACTCAGCTCAATCTGTAACTCAGCCAATTGGCTCACATCGAGTCAAAAACCGGTTTATGGTCTGCATAGTTAGGAGTTTGCTCAGAGTTTTCTCACGCTCTTTCAAATTCCAGCGTTCTAAGCTCTCTCTTTCTCTGTTCATCTCTCTCTTGAGGCCGAAGTCGTAGGTCAAAATAAATGAAATTTTTTTTT